GCGCTGCTTCCGAGGGATTGGCCCCAGGAAATCGGTGGGTGGGCCCGGGGCCAGTGCCGGGCAAGGCGCGACTTGCCTCGCCCGCTGCGTTTGCGCGCCTGCATTGGCTGGGAGTGAGAGCGGCGCCTGCACCGGGACGTCACATCTGGTGCGCGAGGCGGGCGGCGCCGGAGATGAGTCGCGCTAGGAGTCGGGCCATGCACATGGCGGGCAGTCCGACTCTGCCCACAGTGTTCGCGCGCCAGCACCGCCGGTGAAGAGAGCGCGCTGACATCGCGCGAGAAGGGTGTGGCGGTTTCCGGGGCTCGTGCGCGAGACGACTCGTGCCGTATTCGCCGCCGATGTGTTTGCGCGCGCGAGTCGACGTCTACGCTGCGGGCAGTACGACCCTGCCTGGTACGTTTTTACGCGCGCGTGGGCCACCCTGATCGAAGCGTCGCACGCTCCCGACGAAACTACGCGAAAGCGAGCTCGTGACAGAGACGATGGCCGTCAAGAGGCTATTCAAGTAGTCAGTATACGTAGACTGTGTGATTAAGCGGGACACGCACCGACGGCGACGAGTGGTAGCGGGGGCGGCAACGTAGTGGAACGGTGTCTGGTTGCATACAGGGCGGGAGCGCGGCGGTGTGACTTGGCAGCGGGGGACGTGGCGAGCCGCGCACCCGCAACGCGCAGCGTATTCGCTGGCGAGAAGGCGTGCGCGGCTTGCGACGGACCCTGCGTGCAGGCGTCGAGGTGCGGGGACGTCGGTGGCGACGAGCGACGGGGCAGAGGTGGACGGCGGCGTGCTGCATGCTCGATCGGCGTGCAGCGGAGAGTGCATGAGGTGCTCGAAGGCGGCGGCGCGCACGTCGGATGTAAGGGCGGGGAGCCGTACGCGCACGGTGACGACGCAGCGGTACAGGAGGCGCACGCGCTCGGGCGAGTCTGTGCGCGCGGCACGGGGGGGGCGGGCGATTGTGCACGCGGCGGGCGTGGACGTGGCGGCAGCGGAGGTGGGACGGGCGGCGCGCACGCTGGTGTGGACTAGCGGCCTTTGCAGGGATGAAGGTCGCCCGGCTTGGTCCTCCGGAGCGCGAGTGGAAGCGGCGCATGCGCGGTGTCGGAGGGTGCGCGCTGTGGCGCCTTGAGCAGCGAGGCGGCGACGGCGGCGACGCGGTGCGCCTGTGCGAGCGGCGGGTGGGCGTGCGCTGAGCGCCAATGGTAGCGTACGCGTGCAGGGTGTGGTCGGACGGCGAGTGCATCTCCAAAGAGCGCGCACCGACTGTACAGGAGCCAGCGTTGAGGTAAAATGAGGAGTAGCGGACGCACCTTTAGATACTATGGCAGCATCTTTAAGATGAGCGGGACGCAGAGAGCGCAGAGAGCGGCAGGGTGCGGGAGCAGGAGCGCTGGCATCGGCAGAGGGAGCGAGCACGAGGGACAGGGCAATGACACTCGAGCGAGAGAGCGAGCCGAGGGCGCGGGCACGGGAAAGCATTCTGAACAGCGGCTGCGGCGGCTTTGGCGTCAGCGCCAGGAGCAACGGCAGCGTGCGGCGGCGGCGAATGCGCAGGCGGCGGGACAACTCCAGAGATGGTGGTAAAGGGAAGAGGTGCGTTGACAGCGGCTGTCACAGCGTGATGATTACCGTGCCGACTCTGCCGAGGTTCTGAATAAAGTCGATACGGGTGCTCGGGGCGCACCATCTGAGGCCTGAGGGCCTGCGGTCCATCGACCAGGTGCTCAGCGCTCAGCGCTCAGCGCTCAGCTCTAGAGCTGAACGTTGGGTGTTGGGGGTCGCGTCGTCCTACAAAAAAAATCACGTGATGCTGGAATCTGGATCACGCGACATCTCCCGCCGTATGGCGGGAGTTGAAAGCATGACCTTTTTTTTTTATGCTGCCTGGGAGGCGGGTGGCACTGGGCTGCGGGCCCGGAGGGCCCCGGGGCCCCTGGGCCCCTGGCAGGACCGTCGTTTTTTAGGCTGTTTTTTCTGCTAATGAAGGCTCGCCAGGGGAGGCGGAATGATATTAGGTACAACTCCGAGCTCTCGCGCGTGCGACAATATGAAGGTATGATCTTTCATCGTTACTTGCCTCCGCGTTATCAATCACATCATGATCAGCAAGAGCTGCAAAAGTGAAGTCAATATGCAGCATAGCAGTCGATCCTGTGCGCTCCAGTACGCGGTGACAGTCCAATGTAGTGTAGCCTTTGAGTGATTTCCATAGCAGGAGAGTATCGAGGGCCGTGTGGACACCCCCCTGCCTTGTTTACCCTAGTCTCCTGTTATCCATTGGCGGTCTATGTGGGATCGGAACGCATGTCGTCACTGCTATTACCCGGCTGCCCTACTGTGCTAACCCAGTATCACACGGCTGCTATCCTGTCTCCCGTTATTACACTCCGAATCTGTCTGTCTGGAAAAATTTACTTTAACCGAGACTCGGAGGTGGTACTACACGGCTGCCTAACTAGGCTAACCCAGTATCACACGGCTGCTCTCCTGTCTCCCGTTATTACACTCCGAATCTGTCTGTCTGGAAAAATTTACTTTAACCGAGACTCGGAGGTGGTACTACACGGCTGCCTAACTAGGCTAACCCAGTATCACACGGCTGCTCCCGTCATAATGGCGGAGATGCACTGATGGTAGCAATATCGTGGGCGCGCTGCACAGTCTCAGGACACAGTCGTCGTGTCGCTTCCCAGCCCATACTAGTCTGCAGCTTTCAAAGTGGGCATACTTGAATCATCCCTGTCATCCAGGACGGTCCTTTTTCTTGGTGTGTATATATAATATATCATACCAATGTAGTGAAGGATAGGTGCTGATGTATCAGCACCTGCCACCTGTCGTGCAGAGACGAGAGTGATATATCAGCACACCTGATAGACCCAATGCAACACAGTGTCTCCTTCGGGCTGGGCTCCCGGGCGGCGGCGCTGTTGCAGCGCGCCCTCCAGCGGGTGGCGGTGCAGCGTCGGGCTTACCTTTTTTGGGTGTTCCCCGCCTGCGCTCGCGCGGGTCACGCGATGGGATGGCCAGGTACATATGGATGCTTAGAGTTCGTAGGGTTAGGTTGCCACACTTGCTCCTTGGCGGTGGAGCATGCAGCAGGTCTTGCAAGGTCGACGAATGTGGCAGGTCGAGGGTTGTTTACACGTGTCATGATTGGGGCTCTTTCCAGCACCTACCCGCCGCCGCCGTTCCTGCCGCTCCCGCCCGCCCCGGGCGCCCTGTTCCTTCACCATCCCTTTGGCCACTACTGTGGCTCCTGCCACCCGCTTCCGCTGTGCCCAACGCGCCATCCTCGTCCCGAACTTAGTTACTTATGTTTTCCTGTAGAAAAATAACATTTTTTGGGATACAAGCATACTACTGTGAACGAAAGTGCTATCTACAAAACATCAAGAGACCTTGGCGGGGCTCGAACCCACAATACTTAATCCTCAAGAATCTTAATTTGTGCCGGACGACGTGAGGGCGCTTTACCAACTAGGCTACAAGGTCATGTTCGAATTTATGGCCTGAAAAAAAAAACCGACTTCTCAAGCACAGAGCTTCGGGCGGGATTCGAACCCGCAATCTTATCCGCAGAATTGAAGTGATGATAAAATACGTAAGCAGATACGCGTTAACCGTTTAGCCACCGAAGCGATGAAAAAAAAGGGACCCTGAAGGATTCGAACCCTCACCAACGCCGGCAAATATAACGGACACTCATCGGACAACCAACTGAGCTCTGGCTCCGCTTCAGAAGCCCCTTTATTTCAGTATTGTAGTTTATTATTATTTTTAAAAATGCTCAAGTCCGCAAAATGCGCAAGTCCGCACATCAAAATTGTAGAAAGTGCTACGAATGTACATGCAGGCTGCGATATACTGTAGCTATTCCCTTCCCAGGCTTACCCCGTTGTTTTAACCCTGTATATGCGCATCAGCGACAAGTTAGATGGGCAGAAAGAAAAGAAGATTACCTTTTTGTAGGCACACGATTCTCCTGGCTCACCGCCTTGCGCTTCGTGCCCCCCTTTTCCAGCAACACCTCCGCTCCCTTTTCCTGCGCCCCCAGCGCCTTGTTCCTCTCCTGCAGCGATACCACCTCACCCCGATTCTGAGGCGCTTGAATCGTTCGGAGGCGCAGACCAAGGGCGTCCCCAACCAGAAGATGTTTCGTAAGACCGGGCGCGACGAGGCGCTCGCGTTTTACGCCGCCAACTACCCGCTCCACATCAAGAAGTGGGTTCAGATCCCCGCGCCCGTTCCTTCTGCGACCCCCGCCGGCGTCAACGGCGTCAGCGCAGAGGCTGGATCGACGCAGGAGCTGACTTCGGACTGGGTCAATGCTGACGCCGAGGCCGACGCTTCTGGTGCCGCCTGAGTAACGAGCCTGCAGCCGCGTAGTTGTCCCCATGTACCGCAGCTTACCGCCTGCCCAATGCGACGCGTCCTGTATTCCACTAGCATGCGATATCAAAATAGATCAAAAAACGATGCGCAGGTCCCCAACGATGCGCAGGTCCCCATGCGGGCATACTTGAATCATCCCTTTCATCCAGGACGGTCCTTTTTCTTGGGACTCGCGAGGTCTTGGAAGGAGGCATCGTCTCACCCACTCGGTGCGACTAACATGCCACGCAGCAGAGCTTCTTGTCTCCATTCACAACGCACACAATGGGGGGATTCTGGTTCTGTTAGATCGAAGCCATACCCACCCAAAAGTCGATCCATAGTAGACAGTTTGTGGGATCAGCTTGCTCACCATTGTCTCCTAGTTGACCGTCGAAAACGAGTACGAGCTCATGCCCTACGTTCTATGATCAGCCAAAGTTATCGCGCCAGATGTTGGAATAGATGGCTGGAAAAACAGCATCGGGAGGGATTCGAACCCTCAGTCATATCCGGAGAGTTGAAATAGGAGGAAATAACCCAGATACGCGTTAACCATTTAGCCACCGAAGCGCTCACTGTCTGGGCAGAGATATACAAACATGAGGATGAAACATCCCTACTTCTTGGATGGAAAGAGTTTCTGAGGAAGAGTGGTCCAGACGTGGTCACCGGCGACAATATAGCGCGCTTTGGGCTTTCGGAATTTGAACCGTGGGAAGATGTCGATGCCGAGCTTCGGCAAGTCGGCCGAAACAAAAACAGTTCATTGAGCCAGAGTAATCGCAGGGCGCTAGCAATTTGGATGGCTCCCGTTTCAGGTTGTGTAAGTCTGCGGGGGTGTGGTGAGATAGTGGGGAGACGCGCCTCAGGTGTTTATGCGTCAGGGCCCAGGGGACGTCTTGTCAATCACGGTAATTGTCGGTGTAGGAGCGAAGGAGCTAGTAGAAGAGTCGGGCGTGAGAGCGCGGCAAAGCCGGGCTCGAGCTTAATGTTTTCGAAGTCGAGAGAGAAGCTGAATGGGTCGAAGAAGACTTTTGAGGCAGCGGATGTTGGACGCTGTGGGCTTATACATGGTCGCCTCCGACGGTCATGAAGACTTAATCTTCGCGCAGAGTCACTCAGTAGCTGACACTGAGTGTCTGGATCGATCAAGTACCTATCATCTTGACTTGCGCACACCACAGCTATTCATCGTATCTAGTCAAGTACAAGTAATTCAGGCGGTCAGCCGGTCGTCGTATCATATGCGGTGCGCTACAAGAGGGGAGAAGAGGCCTGGCTAAAAGACAATGGGGGGGGGGGGGGGGGGAGGTCTATTATACAGGGGATGATCGAGAGTGTGAGTATGCGGTGTGGGACAGGAAGCTGTTGAGTGATAAGGGACTTGGGGGAGATGCTGGGCGGATATCCGACGGTGCGAGGGTAGCGACGATTAGCGGAGGGCAGGGCCGAGGTTAGGGTAACGGCGGAGCCGCGCGCGCGCGGAGCACGAGCTCCGTCACGAGGGGGCGGCAACTGGCAGGAATCGGGTGGACGTTCATACGGTCAAAGACCCAGAGGGCGACGACGTGCATGTTGAGTATGCCTCTGTGCGCCGCGACGGGGGTCTCGAGCCAGTGGCAGAGGGCGAATAGTCCTGGAGTGGGATCGAGGAAGAGGTGTGCAGGGATGAGCTCGGACGTCGACAGGTGCGGTGCGGGCTGCGGGTTGGTGAGAAGCGTCCAAAGAGCCGGCTTCAAGATCTGGGTGTTAGGGCAGTCGCGGCCGAACTTCTTGGCGTGCCAGCCGCCCCCTGAGCCCTGGAGAGTGAGATTAGAACGGGGACGTAGAGCGGGGAGGGGGGAGACCAGCGTACCAGCGCCATGAGACAGAACGTACACCATTTCCCGGGTTCTAGGTAAAAGGCCTTGTTTCGCCATAAGGCGTAGGCCTCGTCCTTGTCGGAGACGCCTATCGCCTCGGGGCACGTGTCGGGATGGTGCTCGCGCGGCAAGCCCCGGACAGCGCAGGGGGCGCAGCGGTCGCGGAAGTGGGCCAGGATGATGTTGAAGGACTGGGTTAGGTCGTGCTGGCGATGCTTGGAGGCGGCGCCAGAATTTTGGAGACTAGGGAGCAGCCACGCGGCGGCGTACTCGTCGCTGGGGGAATATATCAGAAATAGAAGGAGGGGGGAGGAGGTGATTCACGCACCCAATGCCTTCGTAATCGGGCTCGTCGTCGTCAGCGCTATCGTCCCCTCCGCCACCGTCCCCGCCGGGGTGGCTTCCGTCGTCTCCATCGGGGGGCGTGCTCGCATGGCCCGCGTCGGTGTCGCGGTGGCGTTCTGCGCCGCGGTCGTCGCCTTGCGTCGGATGTGAGGGCGTGGGGGGCGTGGGGGGTGGCCGGCGACTATCCGAGTGGCTGTCACTGGGGGCGGAGCCGCGGGTGCTCCGGTCGGCGGCGGCGCGTGTGGAGCCGGTGGCTGAGCTCGACGTGGAGCGGGCGTGGCGGCGGGGATGGGGGCCGGAGACGGTCATTGGATCGACGTAGGGGTGCGCCGAGGTGCCGGCGGCGGGGGTGGGGTACGGGAGAACTCCGTGTATCTGTGGACGATGAGTGGGGCGGCGGCGAGACGTATTCGCGACGTACGGGGGGGCGGGTGGCGAGCGGCGTGGCTGGTGCGTGGGCGGCGGTGGGCGTCTTTTGTGGGCGGGGGGCGGCATCTTGGTTAGGTCATAGAAGGGGAACCTGCTATGGAGAATTAGATCGAGATGTGGGAGGCAGCGGGGAACAACACGCATTGCGAAAGAGTGAGTGGCGGTGGGGTCGAATGAGCTTGTAGAAGGAGGAGGACTGGTCGTGCTGTCCCTTTTAGCGCATGCCTCCGTCTGGGGAAGAGAACGAACGGGTACGGGTGAAACCGGCGACCACGCTGGGTGGTGAGGTGGCGGAGGGGACTAGAGACGGGGTCCGCTTGAGAGGATGTATGGAGACCCGGAGGAGCGAGGAGGAGGAGGAAGAGGCGAAGAGGGGAGGTGTGCTAGAGCTGGAGGACGCGGGGCTGGGGGTTTTCGAGGGACCAGCCAGGCGCAGGTGCTTGGGGAGCCTGCTGGGGATGGCGGGATGGTCTTCAAGGGCGTAGCTGAGGGCGGGTCAGTGCGCGGAAGGCCACATTGGGGGCGCCGCTTACTGCCTGTCAGCGGCGGACGGCGCAGCGGTGTGGTCGGGGGCGACATACGCCTTGCGGCGGTACGACATGGGCGCAGGACGGAGGAGGGACTTGGAGTAATTTGGCTGGGGGTGGTTGCTACGTGGTGAAGAATACCGGGCCGGAAGTTGATGCGGGGTAAGCTGGGTGCGGTCAAGTTTTGGGGGCAATTACATCCCGCATCCTGGGGTTATGGGGCATGAGGGCGTCAGATCACCGGCGGACGCTGTACCTAACCCTTTTGAAGAAAGGTGCTACAAGTTTTCCACGGAACCGCCCTGGAATTCCCGGGAATAGTCACATGCCGATAAATGTATTTTGCCTAGTTTTAATTGACTTTCTGTTCGTTTTCTCGGGATACTTTTGCGTGACGGAGTTGGTTTCTGTTATTCTCCGGTCAGGGATGCGCCTGTGTTGGATGGACTGCGGCTGAGTCAGCCGCGGACCCAGCCTTGATCACGTGACCGCGGGGGTGTGGCCCTAACGCTAATAGTAAAGTGCTGGGTTACTTAGTCGTGATCAGGCTAGAAGTTACCAGTGGGCAGCGCCGGTGGCTCTCCTCCATTTCTTTTCTTCTTTGGTTCTCTCCGAGCAGGCACTAATATTGTTGAGAAATCATGAACCAGGGGCTAGAGGCAGATGGTCTGAACAAACGTAGCCACGCCTAGCACGTAGCTCATAGGAAGAGACGCGGCAGGCAGTATTTATCGTGGAACGAATATCAGTGAGCAGGACACGATACGCTTAGGGAACAGGGGCAGTGGAGGGCGACGAAATCAGCGGGGGCCGTCGGTTGTCAAGGTTGAGAGTTGGCGGACAGCGAACACGAAGAAGTCGTGGTCGAGTAGGTCGACCCTAGACACAGCCGAGTGCTCCGACCCACTATCCGGAGTCACTGTGCGGAGTTGACTCGTCCGACCAAGATCTGTTGTGTTTTCGTGAGAAGAATCTATCATGAGAATGGCAAGCGCAGATTACTGGCTTTCCTGGGACACTGGTGCGATGTCACTGTGCTACGTCCTCCGACGGAGGGGAGGCCGGAGTGTGCGGGAATTCCTCCGACTGCGGATGTGCGACTACTTGGCCTTCTTTGAAGAATGAGGGCCACGTTCAAGTCTGTGGTTTCTCACAGCGAGCGCGAGTTTGCGGGCTGATCATCCTCATCTGACCTCGTGCTCGCCAATAGCAGCACAGCAGTTCATGTTGAAATAAAGGTCAAGTTCAAGTTGGAGCGAGTTGATTCCTTTTGTGCTACTGCTGCATCGAAGCGGCATTCAGGTCATTCGGCCATTCTTGAGGCTCGTCTCAGATGCGTCTACCCGAAGTCAGCTGCTGTCGAGGCGTCCTGAATGCTTCTAGCTGGGGAGCATCCGGGTGCATCTGCGCTGTCCAGCTGGTCGACTGCTCCTGCGACTTTGGTATGCTGAGAAACTAATGGGTTAGGCGCGGCGCAGGTCATGAACTCACCCATTGGCGCAGGAACTTTGGACATGCGGGCTGGGCGCTGGAGGCAAAGGATAGGATTGCTTCACTGTCAACTGACATGGCGGCATTACGTTACTTGACAACATTGCGGTCACCGGAAGACTCGCCGCTGATCGATCCGGCCGTCTGTCTGGCCTGTTGAGCCGAGCAGGGCCGGAGACGGAAGGCTGTGTGCACCCTGTTCAATTCGTTGGTTTAGGGTTGTGATTCGAAATGGGAGTGTCGGCGGCATGACTCATTCGCGGGCCGAGTGGCACGTGTTGTTATTCCTTGCTTGCCGACCACCATGCGCCGCCTCGAGTATTGACGGGAGCCAGGTCTGGACAGCTTACCTTGCCACTATCAAGGTGAGACGCGAGCGATGCTGGTGCAGCGGCTCTGACGCCGGAGCTAGCGCAAAGCCCAAAAGGCACTGAGAGGAGGGATGGGAGCGTTGGATAACTTGCAGCTCGTCAGCATTCCAGACGCGCTACGAGGCGCAACGCGATGCTGGCCGTCATCTATGCTAATCTCGACAGTTCGCGGGTTCCCAACCTCGGTCACCATGGAGGAGTTCTCGCGGACCCAGGCTTGATGTGTTCTCCAGCCGGGTTGAAGGCATTCTGGTGGGCTTTGACTCGGCTGGGAGAGCTACTGGCGGAGGGGAGAGGTACCGGGGCCCACGCGTACTCATCTGTGGACGCGGGGTCATTCCCTGGGTCGTATTCTTGGACGCGTCGCAGGAGCTCTGCCTGAGGGCTACTCGTGTCGACTCGGACGACAATTGCTACCCTCATAGCGTGTGTGGTGTATAGCTTCCATTCCTTAGACGAGACGGGTAGCGCGCTTCAAGAGGAACGAGATCTTGTATGTCTTCCTGTCGAGAATCTGGATGGCGGAGGTCGGCCGACAAGGGTCT